ACTCAGAATCACTGATTTACCTTTGCTAAGCCTGAGTTTTCTTATCTTTAAATTGGTGACTGTATTTGACTTTCTATCTCTGAGAGCAGTGCTGAAGTCAAAAGAGGTGAAATGATTGATTGGGCAGCTGTCTGCTCACCTGTTGCAACGTCCTTGAGTTTTTCCCCTTGCTCTCTTTGCCTGCCACTTCCTCATACTAGACACACAACAGATTCTCATCAAATCCTGGTGAACTGAATGATAGAGCATAAACAGTCTTGCCAGTGTTTTGAGGAAGAGAGATATGGAAGCATTTACTATTTTGGCATTCACTCCCTAGCCCCTTCATGCTGCAACTTGTATAACTTGTAGGAGATTAGTCAAACCTCATATTTTCATATGAAGTGTTAAGATGAGATTTCCCCATTTGTGTTTGTGAAATGAATATTTTGGACATATGCATAGGATTTTAAGAGTATAGTACTCTTGATTAATTTATTTGTTCATCCCAACTTTGGAATCTATTGAGAGATTTTTGAATCCTAATTCTTCCAACATGTTAACTATCCCTTCTAGTTTCCTTTAATTGAAATAGCATAGGCATGCCTTCCCTTTTACAGATAATCTTTAGAGATTAGATTAGATTTCTCTTTCTCCAAGAGAAAGAGAAATATTTTGTTAAATACTAATTTAAAACAAGACATCTGTAGTCCAAGCTACCCTGGAAGTAGAGGTGAGGGTGTCATTTGAGGCCAGGAGTTGGAATTCAGCCTTAGCAACATAGCAAGTCCCCATCTTAAAACATAATAAATAAATAAATAAATAAATGGCTGCTTTCTGGGTAATGAATGAGCACATCTGGGCCACCAGGATCATTGCAGATTTGTCTTCTAACAGTTCTCTTATTTATGTCATGGACCAGCTTTAGAATTAGAGCCACTCGAGTGGCCAGTGAAGAAAAAAGGAAACTATTTAAAAATGTAGATAAATGGTAATAATCTGTATAAAAATAACCACAAGTAAAAGTACCTATCCATTGTATCCACAGTGAAGGGAACACAGTGAGGTGAAAGAGTAACAAAAGGTCTGCTACCCAAGCATTAAAGACATAGGAATTGTGAGTCCCACCTAAGGCAGATGGACCCCCAGGGCCATTCCAGCCTATGAGGAGGAAAACCTAGAGTAAAGAAGAGAGGTGCACTTAGAATCAAAGGTTTGGAACCAGGATATGCAGGGGAAATTAATGAAAAGGAGTAACACGAGGATTGAGTCAGTGTGAGTTTGATACTTGAAACTTTAGTGGAACACCTTTAAATAGCTCCAAGGAGAAGTTATTTAGTGACAAAGGACTAAAGTTGACCCAAGATTTCTGACATGTTCCTGGTAGAGCAGATCTTAGACTCACCCAGCGTTTCCCTTTCCTCTCCTGCAGTACCCTTGTGGGGGCAAGTGGAGGTGAAAGAAGACAGTAGAATCTGATCCGCCCTCCTAGGCATTTCCAATGCAAATAGAATGTCTCAAAAACCAAAACACAAGGCTTAAAGAGGATAGGATATGAGGAGTGAGCATTGTAAACCTTCTGGAGACTTGAAGAAAACAAAAATTATCTAAATGAGTGGGAAAAGGGACAAAAGTAGTGATATGCTCCAGGAAGACAGAAAGGAATATTCTCAGGCTGATAGAGTATCATGGGAGTAGAGAGAAAGGAGGAAGGGTAGCCAGGAATGAGGGAAAGACATAAGTAGGGAAGGACCTGGTCCCCAGAGGGCCTACAAAGCCATGGTAAGAGATAATGTATAGACTTCATCCTAGGGCCAACAGAAAGTTTTTTTTTAAATCTTTCATGGTGTGTTTAATTTGCCATTGGCCCTGATGATTGCTTGAAGCTTCCGTCATGGCAGAAGAGGTCAGGACTGAAAACTATGGAACGCTTCACGAATTTGCATGTTATCTTAGCACAGGGGCCATGCCAATCTTTTCTGTATCCTTCCAATTTTTGTATATGTGCTGCTGAAGCGAGCACCAATAGAAACTTCTTGCTACTGACATTTATTTAAGATGGCTAAATGGGGCTGGTTTTTCTTGCTCTTAAAAAATTAAAAGATCAAAATGAAATTTTAAAGCTACCAGGGCACCTTATGCCATTTGTCATATAGGAATGTTTGTAGTTCCTATCTCCATCTTCCAAGCCTACTTTGTCCTTTCCTCTCCTAGGCTAAAATGTCTACAATTGAGTCAATGTAAATACTATTGCAAACAAATATTGTTTCCAATAACAGTAACTAACACCTAATTTGTCACTCACCTAATGATACCAAGCCTCATACCATTCCCATAATATTATTCCTACCATGTAGCTTTATTTTGTGTGTAGTTGTAAGCTCCTGAGGTTTGAAAACAGTGGATAACACTATACACAGGGAATAAACCAGTCACCATTCTATTTTGGTCTATCTGAACTTTTCTTCCTGAAACTCACTCTCCCTAACCCAGATCTTCTCTGGACTCCCAAAGCTTCCCCCATGGGACAGCAGCCTATCTTTGGACAGAAATTCGAGACTCCTGTTCTGCATTGTTGTCTTGGCAGGCCCCCCTTGCCTTTTCTGGCAGAAAATGCATGCTGTGGCAGCTAGCCTAAGTAATCTCACCAGCCTAGCAGAGCCAGGCACCACAGGCTGAGTAATGGGAGGACAGGATCCAGGGGACCCTGATTTTTCAGACTGTTCCCTGATGAAGTCTAGGGTCTGGAGGAAGCAAGGGTCAAACACACTTGGTCATTTATAGATAAGGAAAGGTGGTCTCAACAGAAGAGCCATCTTTAGGCACAATTAAATGTACAACCCAAATAAAATCCTGAATCTTCTTCCTAGAAGAATGTAATATGCTGGATTTTTAATCCCTACCACCGGTATTCAACAGTTGAAGTCTAATTCCTAAAGTGATAGTATTTGGAATTTGGGGGTCTTAGGAAGTGACTAGGTCATGAAGGCAAAGCCTCATGAATGACATTAATACCTTATAAAATAAACCCAAGAAAAACCTTCCCCTTCTCCTTCCCCATGTGAAGACAGAAAAAAATGGCTGCTCCTGAACCAGGAGGAGGGTCCTCACCAGACACTGAATCTGCTGGTGCTTTGATCTAGATTTCCATTTCCAGAACTGTGAGAAATACAGTTCTGTTGTTAATCCTCCCACCCCCAGTTTATGGTGCTTTGTTTTCACAACGCCAATGGATTAAGACCCAAGAATAAACCTGTAGTTGGTAAAGGAATTAAGCAGATCAGACATTGCAGAGAGAACCAGAAGAGAAACAGCACGTGTAGACTCCTATTCCACACCCTGCATTTCTGACCCATCACCAGGTGAACCACCCATCTCCGAGAAGACCTTGTATCATTCAACACCTTCACACTGGCCAGTGCACCTAGGCTTGAAATGGAGGTGCCTGGTCACTGGCTAGGGAATTGGTCTGCTTTTGAGACCAGAGGTTACAGGTTTATCCTCCTCCCAGGCAATGCCAGGTGGCTTCTGTTCCTGAGAAGCCAGTCATTGCCCAGAACTCCTAAACCTCTCCTCTTCCCAGAGCAGGATGGGGCAGTAACGGGGAGACCTGGGCATGAAAGCAGACTGGGTGAGTACATATACTGCCTGGTTCCAAGCTCTCCTGGTCAGGCTAACACAGGCCAAGAGACGATGGATCCATAAAGGTCAGCTCCGAGGCGCCAGAGCACCCAGGTTCCTGGGGCAAGAGTGTTCAGAGCAGGGCTTTAGAGCTTGGGCACCAGCATCACATCTGCACTCAACTACTAGCTCCACCACTTACAGGAGTGCCCACCTTGGGCAACTTCTTTCATCTCTCCATATCCCACTTTCCTTCTCTTTAAAATGGAGCTAAGGGGCATCCACCTAACAGGGTCACCGTGAGGGTTCAACAAAATGGCTGTTGTGAATTGATTTGCAGGGATCATTCAATACCTGTTCCTTATTATTTTTGTTTTGCTTTGTTTTGTTTTTTTGGCAGTACTGAGGTTTGAACTCAGGGCCTCACTTGCTAGGCAGGTGCTCTACCACTTGAGCCACTCCACCAGTCCTGTTTTGTGCTGGAAATTTTCAAGATAGGGTCTCCCCAACTGTTTGCCTCGGTTGGCTTGGAACTGCCATCCTCCTGATCTCTGCCTCCCAAGTAGCTAGGATTGCAGGTGTGAGTCACTGGCACCCAGCTTACCTGCTCCTTATTCTTATTCCACAAACTAGTCCTTTGTCCTGCTGCTGGGTGCAAACAACTGTTCTTCCTTGTAGAAGATTCCAAAATTCCAACCTTACAAGCAGAAGAATCTCCCAAATATCCCACACACGTGGAGATGAGGGCAAGAGATTGGGTCCTGGTGACTGGGGATGGCCTGTTCCCTAGGAATGTGCCAGTGACTGCGAGTGGTGTATGCGTGCAGGCGCACAGCTCTGTGAGGGCATCTGGTTATAAGACCAGAGCTTCCCAAGGTCTTCCATTAACATCCTAGAAGTGATGTGCGGGTTTGAGCCATTGACCGCATTGGCCCTTCTCGCGGCGCTCGCTCTGGAAGGTGGTGGGCTATATCCTCCCTTCAGCTCTGCTCTCTGTTGGTACCAGTTTCCCTCCCCACGCGCTAGGGAAAATGGGAAGACAGGATGGAGTTCTGAGTGGTCGGCGCTTCCCACAGTTTCCTGTGCAAAGTCTCGGTATGCCGGGGTCGGTCTAGCCTTGAACCCAACCCCCACTGCTGGACTGGGTCCTTTCTCCTAGAGATCACTCAAGAGCGCCCCTTGAGGCCGCAAAATGATGGGCCAAGGACCAGCTGCGGGTTGGTGAAAAGCCAAGAAGCAGAGAAAGAGGGGAGGAGGAAGGAGGGGCTGGAGGCCGAGGGAACAGCAGATTGCGCTGAGCCAATGGAAACAGCAGGCCGAGGTGGTACCAAATTCCCCTTGGCCAATGACTAACTAGACTTTACCGAGGCCTCATTAACATTTCTCCGGGGCTGGGGATGGGACAGCGCAGTGTCTGCAGAATCCTAATTCCTGCACCCTGATCGCTTCAAGCTGCTCCCTTTTCCTGCTCTCATCTCCTCGCGCGGCGTAAATACAGGACATACAAGACACAGTCATCCCACCGCCAGCTCTAGCCTTAAAAACCCAGCCCAGGGAGGTCAGAGCACAGCGGGTTCTGGCCTGGTGGTTCACCGCGCGTGCAAGGTCCCCCAGAAGGATTCTGCGCGCTGCGCACCGCCTCACCCACACTAGCGGGCTCTAGAAACGAAGTCATTCCATCCTCAGACTTGGAAACGTGATCCCAGTATCCGAAAGCCAAGATGCCGGCCCACATGCTGCAAGAGGTGAGCTTTCCAGAAATGGACTCTGCCCGGCGTGTTAGCGGGCGCCAAGTGGGCTTCTTAGGTGACTGGTCGGTGGGGGAGGGGGTTCAGACCTCCAGAGAGCACTTGGTCATTTTTTCCCGAGTTGCTCTGCCTTGAATTGGTCGCCCTGCCATCAGGCGGTAAAAGTAAAATCCGGTCCTTTTTGTGTATGTGTGGGTTTTCCTTTGTGTGTTCCAAGGTGTGCATCCCTAGCAGCCTTCTGTCCTGCCTCTTCACAATGAGGTTTTATCCCTAATGGATCTGCACAGTTTCCAGAAACTTCTCCTTCAGGGTACACTTCACCCTCATGTAATCTGGGTACTGGGGCAGGGTCTGGCTTGTATGGCACCGTCGCCCAGCTGCAATAGAGAGCAAAGTGCCCCCTGCTGTCCCAACGGATCTGCTTCTCCTTAATCCTACACTCTCCTTGCAGATCTCCAGCTCCTACACCACTACCACCACCATCACAGCGCCTCCCTCTGGGGGCCTGCAGAATAGAGGAGAAAAGTTGGAAAAGACCATCGATGACTTGGGAGAAGAGATCCGCCCTGAAATGAAAGAAGACATCCATGACCCCACCTACCAGGATGAGGAGGGCCCCCCGCCCAAGCTTGAGTATGTCTGGAGAAACATCATCCTTATGGGTCTGCTGCACTTGGGAGCCCTATATGGGATCACACTGGTTCCCACCTGCAAGTTCTACACCTGGCTCTGGGGTAAGCAGCTTCCCTTGTCCTGAGCAAGTACGCAGCATTCTCCCTGCTCTGTATTGAGGTAGAGTCTCACACGGACATCGGTCCTTTCTGTCCATGTTTCCCAGGCATTTCTGCTTGGTTCCTGGGAGGCTGGCGGGGCTGGGAATAGAGCCTAGTGGTATTAGAATGCAAGGTTCCCAACTCTAAGGTCCCCTTAATTTGTTTTTGAGTGGAGAGCCCTGGGACCTTGTGCAGGGAGCTTCAAGGGATAAACCTGTGGCAAACAGTCAACTGTCCCTGCAAGAGCTTTTCTGTTTGAGTCATTTGCCTGCCTGCCTGTCCCTGACCTGCCCTTAGCTCAGCTCTTCTGGGATTCATAGGTGTGGGCTGATGGTAGGATTGCCCCTTGGATACAGACATTCTCTTTGCAGGCAGTAGCACTTCTGTGCCCTGAAGCCTGAATCAGGAAGGGGGAACAGGGAGCTCTACAGATCCAACCTGGACTCTCTGAGGGGTGGTGAGCTACGAATCCCTCTTCAGAAGAAACCTTAAACCTATTTAGGGCAATATTGTGAGATGCTACTTAACCACCAGAATAGACAGTGACAATCCTTTTCTGGGGGACACCACAAATCTAAGTGACCTGAGCTTTCTATGTGACAGGCTGAAAGCATGGGTACAGCAGGTAGTGGAGTGCTGGGGTTTTGGCCCCAATTCCCTTCTTAAGATGGCAGGCATGTGCTTTTGAAGCCATGCAGTCTCATTCCAAGCCCAAGGGAATGTGGTCAGAACTTTCCTTGGGGTAGGAACTGGCTCTGTGGCTCTTCTGGGGATCATGGAGAGGGAACAGGATTGGATGAAGGAGGTAGGGGAGGGAAGTGGAGAGGGCTGTTCAGGAATCTCTTATCTCTGGCTGCAGAACACCACGCGACAATTTATTCATTGTGTGGTGCATCCCACTGTGACTAAGTTCTGTAACCACTGAGGATCCATTGTTTCCAGCTATTACCACCTCCCCTCCCAGGATTGAGATATTAAGAATTTCTACCAAGGCCTCAGCCCCTGCCTCCTAGAGCTGATGAGCAGAGGAAAAGATGGGTATACCCAGCACTCTCTTCCCTGTTATAGATTATATGCCGTACCTCACGAACCTTCAGGCCTAGAGGCAAGACGTCTAAATGCTCATCTGCCAGCATTAAGCATCTCCTAGCACTCTAGAATTAGTGCTGACTATGAGAGTCTGGATTGACAGGGGGTTGGCAAATGATAGACGTAGAAACTGAGTGTAGATCTTGGTGGGTAGGAACAGGAAGCTATCTTCAAACCATGGCTACCATTTTCTAAGACCTGTCACCCTGGGTAAACACTTGACCTTCTCACAGTATCTTTCTCTCCTATAATGTTGAGTATGAATAGCACCTACCCATTCAAGATGCACAGTGAATATGACATGTTAACATCCTTGGCATAGCTTCAGCCACTGTACAAATGTCTGTGTGCAGGGTTGACTTTCTCTCATATGACCACATCATCTGCATAGTATTACATATCATTGCTTCAATTGGTAAGTAGCCTTATGTCTATGCCACCTAAGTGTTTACTACCACTGGGGCTCCTCCAGTGGTCATTGCCCAGACCGCTCACACTGCTGCTTTCAGAACACCCTTGCTTGTGGTCCTAGGCTGAATGGGGGAGGGTGGTTTTCAGTCCAGAACACCTTAGAGAAGATCAGATAGGACCTGGGATAATGTTCCTGTAGTCTGACAGTGACAAATGGCTCAGTGGCGAGAGCCTATTCCCTCTCCTGCCTTTCTGCCTCCTTAATTCCTGGGTGTCCTTAGCTTTTATCTCCATTTTTAAGTGAAGAGGCTGGGAGGTAACTATTTTTCAAGTGGTGAAAGCTATGAATCTCACACGAAGGCTGCCTAGGCTTCACAGAAAAGCAGATCATTCCCCGAAGCCTAAAGAAGTGGCCTCTGGCACAAGGAGAGTGTCTGAACATGCTTCCCCTAGTGGAACTGGCCTGTTGTTGTAACTCTCTCTGTCTTGTCCTGCAGCATACATGTACTATGTAGTCAGCGCCCTGGGCATCACAGCAGGGGCTCATCGCCTGTGGAGCCACCGGACTTACAAAGCGCGGCTGCCCCTGCGGCTCTTCCTCATCATCGCCAACACCATGGCATTCCAGGTAAGAAGCTGGCACTGTGCAGCCCTTGTGTCTCCACCTATTGAATGATCAAGGGTGGAATAAATAGGTTCAGCACCTGGAAAGGAGTCCTTGCAGAACAGCCCTGGCCGTTTCCAGTCCCTGTGGTCACTTCAAGTGCAGGCTCAGTGCTGAGGTCCATACAACCTGGGAGGTAAACAGGCAAGGCTCTCTAGGTATAGGGTTAGTTTTTTAATCCCAAGGTCCCTTTATTATCACACAGAGTGTGTGTGTGGTCCTTCAGCCTAAGGGACCATGTTGCATAAACCAGGCAGGCACCATGGTTTCCTGGGAAATAGAAAATAAACTCATGCTTTAAGGTGACTGTCTTAGGCCCCACCACAATGGGTTTGAAGGCAATGTGGCATAGAATCAGGAACTGTTTTGTTGTAGATAATGAAAGCAAGCATTTTATGGCATGGTGACTTTACCAAGCATTTTTCTCAGCATTTGACATAAATTAACTCATTAATCCTCACAACCATCTTAGGTGATAGATATTGTTATCCCAATTTTCTGCATGAGGAAACTGAATCACTGAGCAGTTTCATAGATCAATATAGTCTTTTTGGGGGTGCCATACAGGTTACATCAAGGTGTAAAGTTTGTAGAGTCAATATGTTTATAACAGGTGAAGGGAACTGGTGATGAGAACTCTCACATTTACTAAATTATAGCAGTGCATACAGGATTGCTAGTAGTGTGGGTTTAACTTGCAGCAAGAGGAAAACAGGAAACTGAATCAGTCCCTTCTTTCTTAGCTAAATGTGAGCTGCTCACCACATGTCCATAATCTTCTCTTCCTAGCAATTTCTTCCTCAATGGCCCCTGATGTTCTTGTGGGGAGCAAAGTAGGGGGAGGGTAGAAAGAGACATACTGGTATATTTTTAAAGAGATAGAATCCCAGACAAGTATAGAAGTCCCTTGGAAATCTCATGAGTTACATTCTGGCCCTGGTATTAGGTGGGGAGAACTGTCACTTGTGAAGGCATCAGACGAGATCGGGTGCATTCAGTGTGGTATGGCTGTAGATTTGTGAAGGCATCAGGATGGAGCTCCCTGCACCTTTATCCACAGACTGGCACCCTAGGACCCTAAGTAATTTGCTGCTTAATGCTGTCTGTTAAGGAATTTTACACCCCATAAGGACCCTGTCCCACATTGCTTGATGAAGAACGTCCATGTTCTTTGCTAATGAAACTGTCTGAGCACTGTGTTCTATTCCCTTCTCTCCACCACACAATTTTCAGGAAGCAGCAGTTGTAGTCCTGTGCTCTAGGACTAAAAGTTGCTTTTCCACATATGTTCCAGGGACAAGCGCTCAGAAGAGGGCAGGTACCCCTGCCTCCTCTGAAGCCAAAGTCCTAAGAACTGTGAGGTTGGGCTGAGATCCCTGACCTTTGCAGGCATCAGGGCATTGGAATCTTCCCTGAAGGGAAACTCTCCTGAGTCCTGAGTTCCTCTTCTCTTTCCCTCCAGAACGATGTGTATGAATGGGCCAGAGACCACCGTGCCCACCACAAGTTCTCAGAAACACACGCTGATCCTCACAATTCCCGTCGTGGCTTTTTCTTTTCTCACGTGGGTTGGCTGCTGGTGCGCAAACACCCAGCTGTCAAAGAGAAGGGTGGTTTGCTGGACATGTCTGACCTCAAAGCTGAGAAACTGGTGATGTTCCAGAGGAGGTGAGTGAAGGGAAAATGGAGTTGGGATGTGGCCCTGGGAATGTGCGGCTTGAGGATCCCACCTTTTCTCTTAGGATTTATAAAATAAGACCTGAGTGATTTATTGGTTTGCATATTCAAATCATTTCAAACTCCTCCATTTTAAATGTCTCGTAGATCACAGGTATAAACTAATAACCTCTTTGTATGAGTTATCTTATGAAACCAATTACATACAAAATTACTGACCTAGAACAGAGACACAAAGACGAGTTATCTTGAAGGATATGAAGCCTCTTGGAGGAGGGAAGGATAAGCCAGTGTTATCATTGGAATCCACAGTTGTATAGAGACTTTCACAAGTGTGGGCAGGGACAATGTGAACAGAAAAAACAGAATGAGCTATAACATCAAGCACGTTCCAGGAATGAAGTCCTTCTGCTTGAAATTTAAGGTGTGACAGCAAAAGAATTGCAAACACAGACTGACGTGGTGCCTATGGAATCCTAGATGCAGAATTAGGGAGGAATGTCAGCAACAGAGAACCACTAGAGGTTTCTCCAGTACCACATGGCTCAGTCAGAGGCATGCTTCTGAAAGGCCAATCTCAGATCAGGTGAAAGTAGCCATGGAACTAGAGAAGTAAGAGGCAGGAACACAAGGTAGGCAGAGCCACATTAGGGAAGCAGTGGCAGCAGTGAGAAGGAGCTGGGTGCAGGGAATGTCAATGACCTGTGGGAATGAGGAGAGGAACAGAGACCTGCAGGTAGTCAAAGACACTGAGTGTGTTTCCTGTGGGAAAGCAGAGCCAAGAACTAGGGGGTGGTAACAGGAAACGGAGGCATGGCACTTACCATACTCTGAGCCAAAGATGACAACAGGCAAGGGAAAGGAGCCCAAAGGCAGATGGACAAAGCATGAGCAGCTGAACTCATCTGATGAGGTTGTTATTTGCTCTGACCTGTTTGACCAACAAGGCCTCATGATAAAGAACAATGCATTTAGAATCACAAGGTGGGTTTTCCCACTTTTGCTCCATGGATTCCCGTGGGAATACTAGTGACATCATCTACTGTATCCACTTGCCTCATCTAAACAGATAACACTGTACTCAAAAATTTTCCACCCCAGTCCCTTCTGCCAGTTCCATTTTGGTGAGTCCTCTCTCCACAGACTCAGTGTGTGGTCTCTTGTGTAGGTACTACAAGCCTGCTCTCCTATTGATGTGCTTCGTCCTGCCCACGCTGGTGCCCTGGTATTGTTGGGGTGAAACCTTTCCACACAGTTTGTTTGTTGCCACTTTGCTGCGATATGCCGTAGTGCTCAATGCCACCTGGCTGGTGAACAGTGCTGCCCATCTATATGGATATCGCCCTTATGACAAGAACATTAGCTCTCGGGAGAACATTCTGGTTTCACTGGGAGCTGTGGGTAAGTCAGCAGTGCACAGCAAGACCACATCTCTTAGTCTGCTGATGGGGCATTTTGCTAGAAGCCAGAAGAACCAGAATGACCTGTTTGGTTTTTTGTTTTTTTTTTTTTTTTGAGCACTTTGTGGGTCAGTGTTTCTAATATTAAACTAGGGGCAATCTCCTAGGAAACTCTTTTGAGAGTCAGTCATCAATTCTTATGTAAAATGGAAAGGGTGGATAGTAATTCACTTTTCATTTTGAGTTGTAAAACAATTTCCAAATGCTAATCCCTTTGGTTTCCTAGTCACCACTGATGGGGTGTGTATTCTTGCTTGGGGTAGGCGATGCAGAAATGAAAAAGTAGGTTCATCCACGTGGCCTGTAAACCTAGTGTTTTCCACCTAACCATGCTGTATAAAATGTGGAATGATTATGCCACATGTAGTATTTTTATCTTCCCACTGTACTTGGATTTGCTATCCTTTTAACTGTGGACCAAGCCTTATTATTTAGTGATGCCAACATGAAGGCCGTCAATACCGCTGTTGGTGACCCTTTATTACACACACACCCATTTCTACTTGTCCTTTACTTTTCTGTCTTCTACTCATATTTTGTGCTAGGCACTCCCCTTCCCCCAACATTGCTTTTGGGATCTTCCAATAAAGCAGCTGGTTTGATTGCACTTTCCTGCTTACTAATCTGATGTATAATTTCAGTCCCAATTGTCAAAGAAAACAAGATTTGACCATCTGGCTGTCTCCCCCAGTAGTCTTTCCTCATCCGTTATCAGAGCTGTTAACACTGACCACAGACTTATGAACATCTTTTCTTTTTTATTCTGTATTTGGTGGCACTGGGGTTTGAACTCTGGCCCTCACACTTGCTAGGCAGGTGCTCTATCACTTGAGCCACTCCACCAGCCTATGGACATCTTTTCATAACACTCTAACTCAGTCCATGTTTACTATCAGTATTAAAAGTATTTTTCCCTACTACTTTTTGATGTCTATACATCTTCCTTTTTTCGGGGACCTTCTCCCATTGTTTATGTTCTTACTGTGATTCATGTTTGAAACAAATCACCTATGCTATACAATTTGAGATTTTCACAGAAATGGAACACATTCTACATTATAAATGGAACTGTAGGGAGCTTCCCAGTTCCAGCCTACTTTATGATCATGTTACTTTGTCCCAACAGTTACTTAACTTCTCCCAACCTGCTCTCATCTCACCCTTTGCTTTTCCAGCTGTTTCCTGCCATTCTAATCTTTTTTCTTTTTGAATTACTTCTCCCACAGTCATATGCTCATCCTCTGCCTGACAAAGCTGACCTCCCTTTTTTCTCTCCCTTGTCTATGTATGTGTCTGATTGATTTTAAATGAATGGTGAATGCTCACTCAGAGCCTGTCTGTGAAAGCCTGTGTGGAATTTAGTAATCCTGTGTCAGCACATTTAGCCTTGGCTTTATACATCCCCTGCTCAATTCACAGCATGCACACCACAGTGCACAGAGGGATTGATACACCTTGAGTAGACCTGGATAGTATCATTTCCTTTTCTTTTATTCATATCACTCATTGTTAGCCTATCCGGTGATATTTTTATCTGTAAATGTCCGATAACCTCTCCTATTAGTTTATTCTTTACTCTGGTTTGATAAGGGTCAGTGTTGTTAGTGTTGGAATTGATTCAGAAAGAAGAGTCCTGCCAAGGGTTGGCAAACGCTTATCCATTGCAAAAATTTTCATGAATCCAGAATTTCTTTCTTTTTCTCTCCAGCAAAGTAAAATGCTCCCACAAGTTCTCAACATCTCGCAGGTTAGAGAAAATACTTAAATATTTTGAAAGGGGTTCTATTTTATTACCACCTGTCACATCCCAAGATCAAAGCTTAGAGAATAGAAATCAGAGCACTGTGAACCAACAGTGTCTCAGGGAACTCTGGTCCCTGGCTGGGCCTCCTTTACTTTGACTTTTGGCTGCTGCTACGCATTCCATTAGACTCTCTTAGAGAAAGCACCAGTGCTGTTGGGGAAATGTGCTGCTTTCTCCTGCTTACTCACCTGTATAAGAAGCACAGCCACAGTTCTTCCTCTAGACCCTTCTGTCCCCATCTGAACACATACACATAGTCACAGAGCCTGTGGGGTCTTGGGCCAATATTTACTGAAATTCTGGCGTGTTCCAATGCAAAGTATTTTCCCAGCAGAACCAGCTTCTCTCATCCTGTTGTCCTCTGAGGGAATCTTTCTTTCTAAAAGGCTCCTGGATAGTCATGGGTAAGCAAGATCTCTCGACTCATGACTCAAGATGCTTCTGAGGCATCTACTTGCTTCCAAATAAAAGAGAATGGGTTGATCTATTCATTCAATAACGACAGGCTCTCCGATGTTAAAGTTACTTGCTAGGTAAGAGGTATGTAAAGATGAGGAAGCAGTGATCCATTGAATTCCCTAACTCCTCTCCTCACTTTTGTTCCAGGCGAGGGATTCCACAACTACCACCACTCCTTCCCTCAGGACTACTCTGCCAGTGAGTACCGCTGGAGCCTCAACTTCACCACATTCTTCATCGACTGCATGGCTGCCATTGGTCTGGCTTATGACCGGAAGACAATGTCTAAGGCTGCCATCTTGGCCAGGATTAAAAGAACTGGAGATGGAAGCTATAAGAGTGGCTGAATTTTGGGTCTTCCAGATCCCTGTTCCAAAGGCCATCTGGACAGGGATTTAATGTTCTGCTAATTAACTACTGAATAATGCTACCAGGATGCTAAAGATGATGACCATAACCCATTCCGGTACAGTGTCTATTATAAAGTGCAGAAGTATTGAAAGGCAACAACTCTCCTTTATGATGCTAAGCTGATACTCTTATTTCTCTTATATTTTCACTGTCTTTTCCTTTGCTTTATTTTATCAACTTCCTTTGCTCCTTCATTGCCTCCGAGGCAAGTATTGTCAGCTGTAGGTCAATGTCCACCTCCAAAGCCTACCAGCCTTTCTACAGTCTAAAAGTAAAGGTCTTTGCCCTAAGACAGGTCTCTTTTCTTGAGCTGCTCTGAGATACAGATACAAGAAAATCTTCCGAGGTACCCCTGCTAATTATCTTTAGCCCAGGATTTGCTGGATGGAATGAAAAAATAATTTTATTTGGCAGAGAGCATGCAAAGCAGGTATATTATCAAGGGACAGAGTCAGCATGCAGGGAATGATTCATCAGTAAGGATGTGGTAGATGTGGGAACCTTCTCAAGGGGAAGCTCTTACTATGATGAGGCCTAGCTGCTTGCTTAGCAGAGAGAGACATTGAGCCCCTACATAGTATGCTTCCTTTCTGACCTGACAATGAGTAGGCTATGGCTGTGGAGCTTGGTGTGCTAGAACACAACAAATCTCTGTCTCAATATAGTTTAAGCTTAGCATAAAGGAAGAACATTTAGTTAGTAAGAAACAAAGTCTCTGCTGGGGAATGGTTTTATTTTTCTTTAATATAACAAGGAGATGTCTTCATTCATTGAACAAGGTTGGGTATAAAGAATTTTTGAGCAGTCCGTGAGCTGCTCATTGGAACATCTTTGATCTTCCTGCTCTGCCATCTTCAGGGTACTGGTCACTCCCTTATAGTTAGTAGAATGGCTGTGACATTCCTAACTATCCAACAATGCAAGGATTTTAGGAGGTAGACTTGGGTCAAAGTTAAAAATGTGTAGATATAAAATCTATATTGGAACATGTAAATATTCACTTAGAGTATTTCCCCTTGAAAAAGAAATGCACTTGAAGGAAGGGAGGAATTATCTGGGTTCCCTACTCGTTCTACAGCTGGGCAGCAGATGGAGAGAGTTGAGAGACCACATTTGTAGACAGCTCCTAAGAGCTAACTTTACAAAGGAAGGACTCAGAACACATTGCCAGGGGATTCAGAAGTTACTAAGAAGTTATTGAGTGTTCTAGTGAAACAAGTTAAATACTAGCTTCCTTCATTCCAATTTCTCTTTGCATTGTTTAAAAATAGTATTGTACCCTTTTACTTATTCCTTGTTCTGTTTCCTAGATGGTAACAGAACATCTGGAGAGGAATGCCTCAGGGACAGGATAGAAATCACATAACCATCCTGATTCTGGATTATTGGCCCTACCACATCTTTCTCTTTTCTCCTACTGCTTCTGTGTGTTCTTTGACATTTATTTCTTTCTCTGGACTGGCAGCCTCCTGTGTGTCCACTGTCGGGTCCCAATGGTGAGAGGGAGCAGGGCCTTTCTTCCTCTGTTAATTGAATAGAGGCTACAAGGACCAGCCTGCATGAAAAGTCTTTTATTTTTGAGCTGTTCATTAAAATAGACAGGAATCTCATGAAGATTACAGTAGATTGTATTTGCTGACTTGTGTCTCTACTCCTTGGAAATGTCTTCTGGGTGATTTTTGATTCCGCCAGTCATCAAATACCTGCTTTATAATGTGAACTATAAAGTCTATTTTTCCTTCTAATCCTGTTCCATGGATCTGATCCATACCATGTCCCTACATAAGGCTGAGAACCCTAGCATATATGTGTCTAGGTAGGTTGGAGTGCACTACCAGCTCACTCAAGGAACACTATTTTCAACATTCTAAATTCTCTTGAATTCTCAATTCAAGAAACACATTAATGAGATACTCAGAACTGATCAAGTGAATTTCTAACAGTCCTTGCCTTGTGGATAACTTATTTGGGTGCCTTACCTCTTTTCTAATCAGTGTTTCATGTGAGCCTGCCCTCACTCCCTCTGCAGAGACCCTTGAAACCTGAGAGTGTGCAGATATAGCTAGTATAGAAGCTGGCTTGGTTGGAGTATTACCTGTACATCAATTTGCAGGAATCCCTTCCAGGCTTCATTTTGGAAACTTAGTGTTGTTTTCATGAAGTGACCATATTTGATGGATGGCGGAAGTAATTTGAACGTATATGATGTATAGTGTTTTGTTTTGTTTTTTAAGATTAGAAGATGGTCGTAGCATTTAAGATGTAAGTTTTCTCCACTCAGTTTTCAGACACTCAGGTTTGCTAGTATCCTGAGTGCCTTTTCTTTAGTTGGAATGGATCAGTATAAAAAGCCAAGAAAGTGGCCATGTAACACTGGTGGTGAAAGCCTGGGCTTCCTACCATTGTGCCACTGAGACTCTCAAACATTCCCACTCTGACAACAATGGGTCACTCCAAAGATAAGGATGTTAGTCAATGAGAGTAGAACCCTCCTGACCTAATCACCTATTAAGGTCCCACTTCTTAACACTTGTATTGTGATTAAGTTTCCAACCAATGAATTTTGTAGGACAAATTCAAAGTATAGCACTGGACAAGTCACTTAACTATAATGTGACTCAGTATTACTTTTATGAAAATGGAATAATTCTGACTTAAGTCAATGAGTATATTTGAGCATGACCAATCAATGGTCTTTATAAAATATTTTGGGATCCTCAGTAAAGGAATTCTTAAGTCCTGCATATTTTTATAGTAGCAATGTCCACCACGGACTTGACATGTGCCTATGTCCCAGATGACATCACTAGTCTACATCATTCTCTTGAGAGATAGAATGCATTCAATAAATGTTGGACAGTCAGCCAGACAAAATTTGAGAGTGCATATTCATTGCTATGAAAATATGCAGGATTCCATTTCCTTCCTTGGGTAGGATTTTTTTTTCCCTTTTTTCTTTTTATGTGCAACAGTAGTTATTTGTAACCTATGATAATTTTAGAATCATTTCTTTTAATATTAACTTTGAAGCTCTTTCTATTCATCTGACATTGTGTTTGTTCATAATAAAAGTGAAGTGAATCTGATTGCACTGTGTCTGAGTTTTCTGGCTGCAGTGTGGGACCTGTCTCTACGACCTACCACCCTAGCTACGTCCTGTACCTTTAAAAGTAAAAAAAAAAAAAAAAACTTCAAGGGTTGAGTCATACCCCAGTAATCTGCCCTGCCCTTCCTAAAGGTAACTGTAGGTTAAACTGACAGTAGGAAACCAGGAGTCTGCTGGCATTAAATCAAACACTTAACTGCCACCTTGGCCTAGGGAAGTGCCAGATCTCCATGGGTCACATGGTCATTTGGACGAAAGTGAGAGAGGCTGAGAGCAGCAGCAGGAGAAAGCTATTCTTTACCTTGCATCCCAGGCTGGGCAATCCAGCTCATTCCTGTTCCTACAATGTCCTGCCTCCAGGGAACAAATAGCTTTCTAGGAATGCTGGTGCATAACAGCAGGAAGAAAGGATCACAGTCCAAGCAAGGGTCTGTAAATTCTTCATGAACACAAGGTGAAAAAAATGGTTTTCATTCTGCTTCATTTCCATTTTACTTTTAGTGTTTTCAACTGATCTAAGAATCCTCATGTGGAAAAGAATAAGATGGACTTTACAGTTGTAGACATTTCATATTCCAGCAAGAGCCTCTATAACCAACACCTATGCTTTTAAGGGCTCCCAGAACTAGCTCTGCCAGTTCACCTCACTTTCTGATCTAAGGTTGCCCTCGCCTTGGACAAGCATGACTCTCAGAGTCAGTCAAAAGTAGGACACAGTAGTTCTTACTATCCACAATCAAAGTGCAGTGGCTGGCTCATACCTGTAATCCTAGCTTCTCAGGAGGCAGAAATAGGGAGGATTATAGGTCAAGGCCAGTTGAGTCAAAAAAGTTGAAGAGACCTCATCTCAACCAGTAAAAGTTGGCATGGTGGTGTACACTTGTCATCCTAGCTACACAGGAAACATGAATTGGAAGATAAGGGTCCAGACTCACACAGGCATAAATAAAAGCACTTATCTCAAAAATAACCAAAGCAAAAAGGGCTTATGGCAGAGTGCATGCCTAGTAAGCACAAGGCCCCGAGTTCAAATGTGAGCATTGAAAAGGAATTTTTTTTTAAAGCTTCATGAAGTTTTTTCAAACCTTAAGAACTTAAGTTGGACTGAATGTGTTGTATGTGTGACTCAAGTGGTAGAACACCTGCTTTGCCTGCTCAAAAAGCCCTGAGTTCAACCCCAGCCCTACCAAAAAGAAAAAGGAACTTAAGTTGATGGTAGGCTAAGCCAACTAATGTTGCCCTCCTCTTGTACATAACACTTAAGTCTCTAATTGTGAACATCCAATCTCAAAAGGTGTATGTTCATTGAGATCTACTAGGTCTTACTAACTTACATTGATACTAACTTTTTTTTTTTTTGGTGGTACTGGGGTTTGAACTCAGGGCCTCATGCTTAGTATGCAGGTACTCTTATCAGTTGAGCTATTCCACCAGCCTTTTTTGGTATTTAGTATTTTCAAGATAGAGTCTCATGAACTATTTGTCCTTTCCAAGTCGCTGCTTCATTTTCCATGAACTGGCATCAAATTTAAACAATGTGTCCTCACTACACTCTTTTAAGTCTGTCTTGTTTCCCCCTATTTCACACCTAGCTGTCCTCATTAAACACACCTCTGTGGTTCTACAAGAAATTCTATATTCTGTGTATTTGTTATTTCATCTTGGAGCTTTTTATTCCTTCCTGAAAACATTGCCAAAAAGAAGAGGAATGGTGAGAGATCTTAGATCCAGGAAAGGATTGATGAACAAGTCCAATTGAATCAAGATTGAGCCAGGGAAAAAAATAATTAGCTTTCCTGTAATGGGGCATTGTAGAATAAGTGCTCCTAGCAGGTAGAGTAATAAATTCTGGTTTTGACATGTTTTGTATGTAAGAGTATAAGGAGGTTAAGGTCCTATTTAAGAATCAAGATAAAACTATGTCACAAAAGTAGAAGTTTAAGATAATAATGAAGACAACAGGTATGAAATGCCTAATGGTCATTGGCCACCATATTTCTACCTCACATCATACACAACTAGTAACTCAAAATAGATCCTCTCAAGCCATAAACTCTTAGAAGAAAACAGTAGTAATACATCTCTATCACCTGCCATTGGGCAATGGTTTCTTGGACTTGAAAGTAAAAGCATGAGCAACAAAAATCTTTAAATAAATTGTTCATCAAAATTAAAAATTTTTGTGCTTCAAAAGCTATGATCAGGAAAGTGAAAGGGCAACCCACACAATGGGAGAACACACTTGCAAATCATATGTATAAAAGGAACTTGTTTATTTTGCCATCATGAGGCTCAAACCCAATGTCTGTGTATGCTGGCTGACCGCTATGCCACTGAGCTATAGAGCTATACTCTCAGTCCTGTATAAAAGGAATTCTTTTTTTTTTCCTTAAATGGTGGTGCTGGGAGATTTGAACTCAGGACCTTGTGCTTGATAGGCAGGTGCTCAACCACTTGAGCCACACCCCTAGCTAATATAAAAGAATTCTTACAAGTCAACAACAAAAAGACAAATACCTGATATTAAAAACAGCCAAAGTGTTTGAATATATTTATTCAAAGAAGATACACAAATGGCCAATAAGTACATGATAAGGTGCTTAACATTAGTATCCCTAAAGTAAATACCAATCAGCACAATGAGATGTCACTTTATATTTACTAGGATATCTATAATGAAAAAAGTGAATAATAATTGTTGCTGAGAATGTAGACAAATTGGTACTCTAATATATTGCTGATGGGATTCTAAGATGGTACCTTTCCTTTGGAAAACAGATTGGCCATCCCACAAATTGTTGAAAACACTGAGCTACCACAGCTACTCCTAGAAACTGAGTAGAGGTTCCAAGAGAACTAAAAAGATGTGTACATACAAAATTTTGTACATGAATGCTTATACCTGCATTATGCAACAGCTTAAAAGTAGGAAACAATGTCCATCAGTGGTTGAATAAACACAATGTGGAATATTCACACAATGCAATATTTACTCAGCCATAAAAAAAAAAAAAAAGGAAGTACTGCCAGGCACTGGTGGCTAGGATTACAGAATCCTAGCTATTTAGGAGGCAGAGATCAGAAGGATCACAGTTCAAAACCAGCCCCTGGCAAATAGCTGGTGAGACCCTATCTTCCTATCTGCAGTACTGGGGCTTGAACTCAAGGCCTTCACCTTGAGCCACTCCACCAGCCCTTTTTGATGGGTATTTTCGAGATAGGTTCTCACGAACTATTTGCCCAGGCTGGCTTCAAACCTCAATCCTTCTGATCTCTGCCTCCTGAGTAGCTAGGATTACAGATGTGAGCCACCGGTGACCAGCACAAGACCCTATCTTGAAAAAGTCCATCACAAAAAAGAGCAGGCAGAGTGGCTCAATGTTAAGAGTGCCTACCTTGCAAGTGTGAGAACCTGAGTTCAAACCCTAGTGCTACCAAAAAAAAAAAAAAAAAAACCATGAAGTACTGATACATGATATAACAAAGATGTACACTGAAAAGATCTTTCTATGGCCAGGCAGCCCTGGCCATAGAATACCACATATTATATGATTCCATTTATGTGAAATGTCCAGAACAGGCAAATCCAGAGCGAGAAAGCAGACTGGAAATTACCAGGAGTGGAGGAGAAGAATGGAGAGTGACGGCTAATGGAAACTACTTTGTGAAACAATGAAATGCTCAAAACTGAGATTGTGGTGATGGTGTGAAACTAACACACTATAAAAGCAAAACTGTGAGGAAAAAAGTGCTTTATCATTTACTGCTTTTATCATTAGTGACAGATGAGATCTAAATTCAAATATAATAAGGAAGCATCGGTGAAATTCAAGTCTTTGACTAAAAGAAGCACTCTATATTCTGTTAATTCTACAGTGATGTGATCTCAAATCTCAAAGGGACAGAGACTAGTCACAAGACAAAAAGCAGCTGCTATAACCTAGAGTCTAAGATGACAATTTTGCTATGCCAAATTACAGTAATTAGAAAAAGTCAGATACCACGTTCTACATTAAAGAAAAAGAGCTTATGCCAAACATAATCCAACTTTTTAGCAGGAAATTCAAGTCCTCAGTCCAGCAGCCTGAAGGGTGCAATAATACCAACAACACTTCTCTGGTCAGGCACTGAGCTATAGGTTGGAGAAAAGGTGCTATTATTGTCTGAATTTGACTCAGGAGAGGGGTTGAGTTTGCCTGGGGAGAAGCAGTGAGAGAGTGGGTAGTGGTGCTATGGTCTGGCTCTAAGACACGGTCTTACCTCCTGGCTATCTAGGGAATGGAGTAGAAGGCAAAGGAGCCACACCAGAATTTCTCCTATACGCTAGTATCTGTTGGTGATATCCAATTATATTCAGAGGCATACCTAGTGGTATGGCCCTTTTCCCTGACTAGCAATGGCAGGGAGTGGAATCCATGCACAGTCAATCCTCACAAGCTTCCTTTGTGGCAAGAACCCAATTCATTCCCCTTTGTGCCCATCTTAACATTCAACCACATCTGAGTTTTAAACTTGCAGATCATATAAACAGATCTGCTCTTTCCTCAGTATTTGCCAACCACAGTCCACTCTTCTATAAAGTTCTGAGTTCTGAGTTCCTCAAGGGCATTTTTCTCTTTCAGAAAGGTCTCTCTGCACCTATAGTCAGTACTCAATGAGATGGTGGAAATATCTCATGTTTTAAGTTCTGTCTATGCTACAAACAGTTGTATATGTCACAGGCAGTGGCAGTCCTATTCTGTGACCTGTAGTTAATTTTCTATGACCTAATGAAAGCACCTACTTTTGTATATGACCTTTGGAGCAAGTGACTCAGGCAATAATCACAGGCTATAAGGAGCTAAGACTCTATCCTGGGGTCCCTGGAGGCAGAAAGAGCCATCTCCTTTGGTGACCAAGCCTACCCTCCTCTTCAGTCCTGCCCAGCTTGTTA